TCTCTGTAGATATCTATTAAATCCTTTTGGTCTAGTGCTTCATTTAGAGTCTCTGTTTCCTTGCTAATTTTTTGCCTAGAGGATCTATCCAGTGCTGTCAACGGGGTGTTGAAGTCCCCTGCTATGATTGTATTGTTGTCGATTTCTCCTTGGAAGTCCTCCAGAAGATTTTTAATATATTTTGGTGCTCCTATATTGGGTGCATATATGTTTATCAAGGTTATATCTTCCTGTTGGATAGATCCTTTCAATATTATGTAGTGGCCGTCTTTGTCTCTAGTTATGGTCTTCATTTTGAAATCTATTTTATCAGATATGAGAATTGCTACCCCAGCTTTTTTTTGCTTTCCATTTGCTTGGAAAATTTTTTTCCATCCCTTCACTTTCAACCTATGTGAGTCTTTTGTTGAGAGGTGGGTCTCTTGTAAACAACATATAGATGAGTCATGCTTTCTTATCCAATCAGCTACTCTGTGTCTCTTTATGGGAGCGTTCAATCCATTTACGTTTAAGGTGATTATTGATATGTACTTATTTATTGCCATTTTTGTTTAGTGTGGTTCTATTTTTCTTCCATTTCTACTGCTAATTACAGCAGTCCTTTTAACATTTCTTGCAGTGCTGGTTTGGTGCTCATGTATTCCCTTAGCCTTTTGTTTGTCTGGGAAGCTCTTTATTTGATCTTCTATTTTGAATGATAGCCTTGCTGGGTAGAGTAGTCTTGGATTCAGATTCTTGTTTTTCATGACTTTGATTACTTCATGCCATTCTCTTCTGGCCTGTAGTGTTTCTTGTGAGAAGTCAGATGAGAGCCTATGGGTTCCCTTTGTAGGTAACCTGTTGCTTATCTCTTGCTGCTTTTAGGATTCTCTCTTTGTCTTTAATTTGTGGCATTTTGATTACTATGTGTCTTGGTGTGGGCCTGTTTGGGTTCTTCTTACTTGGGACTCTCTGTGCTTCTTGAACTTGAATGCCTTCTTCCTTCACCAAATTAGGGAAGTTTTCTCTCACTATTTTTTTGAATATATTCTCTATCCCTTGCTCCTTTTCTTCTTCTTCGGGGACTCCTATGATGCGAATATTATTACGTTTCCAGTTGTCCCATCGTTCTCTTAAGCTGTCTTCCTGTTTTTTAATAGTTTTTTCCTTTTGTTTTTCTGATTGGTTGATTTTTTCTACCCTGTCTTCTAATTCACTGATCCGGTCCTCAGCTTCCCCTACTCTACTTTTTAAACCTTCCAATGTGTTTTTCATTTCTGATATGTCATTTTTTATCTCTTCTTGTTGGTTTTTAATTTCCAATTGGCTTATTTTCAGTGTCTCTATGTCCTTACTCATGGTATTCAGCTTCCTCAAGATCATGGCTCTGAATTCTAGCTCTGTTAACATGCCTAATTGCTCCACATTGATCTCATCTTCGGTGGAGGTGTCTTGCTCTTTCATTTGGCTTCTGTTTCTGTGTTTCACCATTTTGGCTATCACTGTGGGCTTTGGAGCCTGTCAAGTTCTCCCTGTGGGTGTTGGTGTTCTGCTGTTTGTGGCTCCCTCTCCTGTGTTTAGATGAGCGAGGGAGGATCCACGTTGAACACCACTGTCAAGTCTTACTTTCCTGGTTAAAGTTGCCAGCCCAGGAAACGTACTGTTATCCTCTAGCTTTTTGCCTGGAGGCTAGCAGTCTAGGTTAATTGATGAGTTTTGGGTTGTCAGTTGATTGAAAAACTCCCTTTGGTGCTCAGCCAAGGGGCTTTCATGAGGGTGGGGCAGATGCTGGTTGTTAGTGAGCCTCAATTAGCACTTCAATGGCCCACAGGGTGGGGTTGGATCTCTGAGGGAGGGGCTGCTGCCTCTCCTCAGAGCCCTGGGAAGGAGCAATGTGGCCACCATCCTGAGTGGCTGCACTCAGCCAAAGCTCTGAGCGCCCTCCAGATCCCGAGTGTCCCGACACAGTTCCAGTCCAGCCTGCCCTCCCTCTGCCGGAACCCAAGGTGAGTGGCTGTGGCTGTTTCAGCCTCTGTCCCGGCTGCGCTGTGGGGCCGCCTGGGAGTGTAACCCGAGGGCGCTGCTTCCAGCTGAGGCCGCTGCCGAGCTGCTGACCGTGGGCTCCCAGCCCCGGCTCGCGCCTTCGCAAGCCTACCGGGATGGAGTCAGTGTCCCTCATTGTAATGTACTCGCAAGCTGCTTTTCAGTTGGTTTTTCCCGTCGATTTGTCTGTGTTATAGTTGTAAATCCAGTTTGGTTCTGGGAGACGGTCTGTGTAGCTCCATTCACTCCGCCGCCATTTTTCGGTTCCTCCAATACCTGATTACTTTAATAAATGTATGTCAGCTCTCCCATTCACAACCCTACAAATAGAACTACATATATTAAAGATGGAACTGGTGAATATTTGCAACTAAATGCAAAACAAGTTAATTCTTCAAACCCGGACCTGTGCCCCTTATCAGCAGGAGGAAACTAGTTTCAATATTGAAGAATGAACAACAAAAAGGGGAAAGGTTTGTAACCATAGAACAAGCTCAAATTGAACCCTGTCCTGCTTCTAACTGGATACTAAGTTGTTTTTTTAAAGATAACAGAACAAGCCTGCAAATCAGGTAGTTGGACAATCAGACATGCTCACTAGAGAAATAATTCATCCTAGAAAAACCTTTCAATGTCATGGGGTCAAAATCCACAGAGGATTGCATACTACTCCCACCCCAATTTAAACATGTACTACAGAAAAGTCATGATCCCCAAGTCTCTGCCCACTTGGCTCTCATTATGTTGAAACAATGTTACTCTACAGAATATACATAACTCCCCCTCTCTGCTGCTGCTGCTTATTTTTAATCCTCACTAGAGAATATGTTTTATTGATTTTTTGGAGAGAGGGGAAGGGAGAAGGAGAGAGAGAGATCAATGTGAGAGGCAAACATAGATAGGTTGCTTCCCCTAAGTACCCTGACAGGGGGATCAAACCCAAAGCTAGGTAGGTGTCCTGACTGGGAATAAACTGGCAGTCCTTTGGTGTGCAGGACAAGGACCCAACTAACTGAACTACCTAGCTAGGGCTCCACGTCTTCAAATGTAACCCAAAACTCTGCTGGAGACACAGACTTGACCCTTGCACCCTGTCTCTTTGCTGGCTGACTGTGCAATAAAAAGCCTTTTCTTTTCCAAAGTATTGGCTTCTCTGTGTGTTGGGTAAAGAAGTAAGCTCTTGCTTGATAACATGACAAAAACTCTAACTATAAAAGAAACCAAATATACCAGGAGAAATATTACTTAAGTTTTAATGCACATGATAAAATTGACTCATAGAGTATAATGATTATAATAAAAACCTACTGAAACTTGAAGAAAACATAACCAGTCAGTAGGGTCTATGGAAGGAGCTAGGGCTCATGGAAGTTCTCACGCTGTATGTAATCGCGAGAACCTTACAGCTCTATGGTTGTAATACCTCCTTCTCTTAACTTCCTTTGACCTTCCAGGAATGCTCCTCTGTCTTGGCACACAGAGTGCACGTGGCTGCCACGTCTGCATGCACTGGGATGCAACCCTTTCTTTTTCCTGAATGAATCCTTTTTGGTGAAAAAAACACCTAGTTGATATTAATTTTTAGTGGATCATTCTATAAAGAGATTTGCAAAGTTTATTTGAAAATATATAATTATAATGGGGTATTTTAACACACTTTCTCAGGGAATGAAAAACACAATATTTGATAGCATAGAACAGCTGAGAAAACAGCTACTGAAATGTTTTTATGAAACAGCTACAGAAGTGTGCATTTGACAAAAAATACACATATTTTTAATCATATACAATCAAACAATTGAAAACATACTGACCTCCTAACACAGAACAAATAAAAAAAGCATTATAAAAATTTAACTTACCTGTATATAAGAAATACACTTTAATTCACTCATTGGATCTAACAGGCTTCAAAATGGTGAGGAAGTATTATATGTTTTAAAGAAACACCACTACCTATTAATCCTATGTGCTACTGTTGAAAAAACAACAACAAAACTCTCAGAATTATCACACCTGACTAATCATTTCTGAAAGTAATTAGAAGTCCACACTCCAATGATGCACTTTAAACAAATGTTTAATAAACACAATCTATTTACAACTTTAATAAGAGCTCTTTCATGCTGAAATTTTTCTGGCACCTTATACAGAGATTAATTTCTATCAAGCTTTCTCATGTTACTTACATTTCTATTTGTCTTCCATGGGAGTTTTCACATGTAAGAATGTGGACTTCAAATGTTTCCCTGTGTTTACATTCAAGGCATTTGATCCACTGAGTCTTTTTATGCTTTTGATAGGCAGCGGAATAACTGAAGCCTTTCCCACATTCTGTACTTTTATGTTTTTTTCTCCAGAGTGCCCTGTCATGTGTTTTCTAAAGGTTGTGGTCAATGAAGGCTTTTCTATATTTCTTACATTCATGGGGTCCCTTTCCAGTGTGAGTTCTTTCATCTGTTTTGAAGGAACTGTGATTGCTGTAGGCTTTACCACATTGTTTACATTCAAAGGGTTTCTTTCCAGTGAGAGTTCTTTCATGTTTTCAAAGATAACTAAGACAACTGAATGCTTTATATATTTTTAAAAATACATATGATTTCTCTTCAGGTTGATTCCTTTCATGGGTTTAAAAACTTGTTAATATCTGAAGGCTTTTCCAATTACTTATCATCACAGGGTTTTTCTCTAGTTGGAGTCATTTTGTACTTCTCTGAAAGGTACTGCTATGTCTATAGGTTTTCTCATGCTTCGCATGTTCACAGGGTTTCTTTCCAGTATGAGTTCTTTCATGTGTTTTTAAGGAACTCTGACTTCTGTAGGCTTTACCTTCATTGCTAACATTCATAGGGTTTTTCGCCAGTGTGAGTTCTGTCATGTGTTCCAAGATCACTGGGATACCACATATCTTACATTCATAGTGTGTCTGCAGTGTGACTTCCTTTATGTATTTGGAAATCCTTATGAAAACGGAAAGTTTAACCACATTGCTTACATTCATAGGGTTCCTCTCTATTATGTCTTCTTTCATGTTTCTGAAGATAACTGTGATCTCTGAAGGCTTTACCACATTGTTTACACTCATGGGGTTTCTCTCCAGTATGTGTTCTTTCATGTTTTTGAAGATAACTGTGATCTCTGAAAGCTTTACCACATTGCTTACATTCACAGGGTTTCTCTCCTGTGTGAGTTTTTTTGTGTATGTGCAAGGAACTGTAAAATTTGAAGAATTTATTACATTGTTTACATTCATAGGGTTTCTCTCCAGTATGTGTTCTTTTATGTTTTTGAAGAGAAGTGGGGTAAGTGAATGCTTTGCTACATATTTTACATTTGTAGGGTTTCTCTCCAGTGTGAGTTCTTTCATGTATTTGAACATAACTGGATGAACTGAAGGCTTTATCACATATTTTACATTCATAGGGTTTTTCTCCAGTGTGAGTTCTTCCATGTACTTGAACTTGACTGGAAGAACTAAAAGCTTTACCACATATTTTACAGTCATAGGGTTTTTCTCCAGTATGTGTTCTTTTATGTTTTTGAAGAGAACTGGGATAAGTGAATGCTTTGCTACATATTTTACATTCATATGGTTTCTCTCCAGTATGAGTTCTTTCATGGGTTTTTAAGGAACTGTGATCTCTGTAGGCTTTACCACATTGTTTACATTCATAGGGTTTCTCTCCAGTATGAATTCTTTCATGTATTTTTAAGGAACTGGGATCTCTGTGGGCTTTACCACATTGTTTACACTCATAGGGTTTCTCTCCAGTGTGAGTTCTTTCATGGGTTTTTAAGGAACTGTGATCTCTGTAGGCTTTACCACATTGTTTACATTCATAGAGTTTCTCTCCAGTGAGGGTTATTTCATGTGCTTGAACATGACTAAAAGCATGGGAGGTTTTATCACATATCTTACATACATAGGGTTTCTCTCCTGTATGAATCCTTTTGTGTCTCTGTAAGGAACTGTGGTCTCTGTTGGCTTTACCAGATTGTTTACACTCATAGGGTTTGTCTCCAGTGAGAGTTAGTCCATGTAATTGAAGTGAACATGGACAACTACAGGCTTTCCCATGTTCCTTATGTTTGTAGGATTTCTCTACACTATGATTTACTTCATGTTTTTCAAAATACTGCAGATAACTGAAGGCTTTCCCACACTCTTTGCACTTATATGACTTCTCTCCACATTTTTGAAATTCATATGTTTTGTGTCCAGTGTGACATCTGATGTGTCTACTAAGGGATGAATGATGCATGAAGACTTTCCCACACACACTGCATTCACATGGCTTCACTCCAGTGGTTTTCTTGTTCAGATTGAGATTTGAAGAAAGGCTGAAGTTTTCTCCACATTTACCCTCTTTACTTCCACAGACTTTCTCTACCATGTGACTTCTGTAAACAATGAAAAGTAAAGTATTAATGATTCTTTACTGATAATTTTATATTCATTATATTTTTACGATTTACAGGAAAAGTATAGGTACTCTGTCTTGCCTGCGTTGTCTGAAATTAAATATACTGAATGTTCTTTAAAAAGACTTCATCCTTGCTATTATCAAACTGTGATATTCATATATAGGGTTTATTATATTGTTTACAAGTGAATTATTTTGCAAACACTGAACATGTATGGCACATTTAAGAAAATATTTTTGGTAAAAAATTTATAAGAAGACATTTGAAGCAGGGTTTATTAGTTTTGCTTCTTTTAAAATTTTCACAACATACTAGAATTCCCACGAGACAATGCTTTCTACTGTGCAACTCACCTTATTTTTCTCCCCTGGCTTTTGTAGTAATTTTCAATGTCATGTTCTTCCCACCTTTTCCCTAAAATGCAGACCCAGAAAAATGAGTCCAAAGAATTCATATTATAGAAAAAGAATTAGCTTCTAGACTTTTGATGAGCTGTGACCATGCCAAGTTAATTTACCAACGTCCTCCTTTTCCACATTGCACATCTTGGAACAACACTGATGAGACAGAAACAATTGTTCTCTAATTGACAAATGAAGAAATGTCATCATCCTTACCTATGGAGGCCAGGTTCCTGAAAGTTTCTCTCATCACATCTCTGTAGAGTTTCCTCTGTGAAGGATCCAGTAAGGCCCACTCCTCCAGGGTGAAGTTCACAGCTACATCCTCAAAGGCCACTGAGTCCTAAAACACCCCAATTTGTGTAGAGTAGGGTGTGTGAGACTGACAGCACTGGACACCCAGACTCCATTTATAGGAAGGTTACATATGGTTCTCTCATCTCCAAACATTTTATCTATGACTTGATCATCAGAAACTTATTCTCTGTCCACACTTACTTTCTCATAAATTTAATATAATCATGAACACATGGAAATGACTTACATATTGTTACCATGATCACATTCCATTTTCTTTTCTAATGGCAGGGTTCAGAGAATGTTTGGAAATGACAGAAATGCTATTCAAACGAAACAAATATTATTTTAAGACCATCAATTTCTTGTGAGAAAATTATTTCATGTTCTTCTTTATTATCCACAATTTTCAGCACTCCATGAGGTAGAGGCTTAAACCTGCATGAAGTGTTAATAAATAAAATATAGTGAAGAACTGGAAGCTTTTCCTTCTATTCCTATCACCAAAAAAGAGAGTCCAGGAGGCCTGTGTGAATTACTTTCAACAAAGCCAGCTGACCATGTCATCCTAAAGTCCTCCAGGCCTTTACTAGCAATCAGGTGTGGCTGGCTCAATGTAAATATGCTTGTGGAGAATCATTACTTGTAGCTTGTGTAGTCTGTATCACAGACTAGGTTTTTCCTTTCTCTCTCTGTCCAATTTAATGGGTCTGGAGAATTATTTGGAGCTTACAGCCAAGACACAATGAAGGTGTGAAAAGTTAGACCACAAAATCCCTATACTCATGTGCTCAGGGCTGAGAGTTCATTTAAGTCCACATAATTTGATGATAAATTTGCCTATGATTGTAGAATACATAAAAGGACAGTGCTCTCCTCTAAAAGAACACAACATTCCCATTCTTGAATTTCTGGAGAAAAAATTTTTCTGAAAAATCATTTTAGAGGCTGCCCTGTTCCCTTTTGGCACTTAAGGAACTTGGGAGCTGCCACACTCAATTTCAGAGAGAGAGGGAGAGAGAGAGAAGAAAAAGAAAATAACGTAAAACGAATTACTCTCCTTAGAGCCACCAGAATTAGGAAAGAGAAAAGATGGTATTTGGAACTATGCTCCAATATATTCTTTTTTTTTTTTTTTTTTTATCCTCACCTGAGGACATTTTTCCACTTTTTGTTGAGATAGAGTGGGAGGGAGAGAGAGGAAGAGAAAGAGAGAGAGAAACATCGATGTGAAAGGGACACATCGAGTGGCTGCCACTCACACGACCAACCAGGGCTGGGGACAAACTGCAACTGAGGTATGTGTCCTTAGCGGGAACTGAACCCGGGTCTCTCTGGACCGCAGGCCAATGCTCTAACTGCTGAGCCAAACCGGCCAGGACTATTTTTAATGAGGTCTGTACTAAAAAAAATTCGATTTCACCAGAGTCTAATGCAAAGACAATGAACAACAACAACAACAGGACACAATGTCCATGAAGCCTAAAACAACCTTCCTCAACAGGAGGATAGGAATAAACATAATGGGAATATCTGAAAAAAAGAAAGACAGAAACAGGAGATAAGTGGAGTAATTACACTGAAATTTCCTAAAATGAATGATAGATAACACACTGTAGATTCAGAAAGCTCTAAAACACTAAAAATGCACAACCAAGTACATCCTACTTAAATTAGACAAAAGGAATATATTGAAAAAAGCCAGAGGAGAAAACAGACCTTAGGTATAAACCAAGATCTGAATTACATCCAACTTTTCAGAAACCATGCAAGCAAGAACAGAATGGAGTAAAATACTGAATGTTTTGGAATTAATAAGACACTGTGCAAAATGTTGTATCAAGAACAATAATCTTTAAAAAAATAAAAAAGCAAAAATGACTTTCTGAGACAAATATTGAGGGGATTAGTCACTAGTATACCTACTTTAAATGAAATATTAAAAAATTCATCACAAAGAATATAAATGATAAAAGGGGAAGGATTAGAAAAGAAATAAATAAAGATAAAAATCTTTTGTATTTCTTAAAATATTAGCAATATGTATTTGGTATTATAAGCTTATGTGTAGTAGAAATAAATGACAACAATGTGCCCTGGCCGGTTTGGCTCAGCAGTTAGAGCGTTGGCCTGTGGTTCGGCTCCCTCTAAGGGCGCATACCTCGGTTGCAGTTTGTCCCCAGCCCTGGTTGGGTTATGCAGGTGGCAGCCACTTGATGTGTCCCTTTCACATCAATGTTTCTTTCTCTCTCTCCCTCCCACTCTATCTGAACAAAAAATGGAAAAATGTCCTCAGGTGAGGATTAAAAAAAAATGATAACAATGTGACAAGGGATAGTGATGGTGGAATTAGGTGGTAGTGTGGTAGGAGATACTTGCACAAACAGCAAAGTGGTACAGTGTGACTTGACAGAGGATGTGGGTTAGTTGTAAATGTATATTCAAAAATTAAGGGAAACCAATATAAAAGCTTTTTATTTAAAATTTTTCACTATTATTATTTTTAAAGTATTCTTAGTTCTTTTTTTAAATAATATTTTTCTTTAATGATTTTAGAGAGAGAGGAAGGGAGAGGGAGAGAGATGGAAACATTGATGAGAGAGAACATCGATTGGTTGCCTCCTGAATGCCCCCCACTGGGAATCTGGCCCACATCCTGGGCATGTGCCCTGACAGGGAATTGAACTGCTGACCTCTTGGTGCATGGGTTGACACTCAACTGCTGAGCCATATTGGCCGGGCAATATAAAAACTTAAAAAAAAAAAATGCCACTGATTTGCAGAGAGAGGAGAAAAACAATTAGGAAAATCCCCAATTAAAGCCAAAGAAGACCAAAAAAAAGGCTGAAGACAGAAACAAATAACAAGGGCAACAGACAGAAAACAGTTAAGGTTTGGCAAATATAAATCCAATTGTATCAACAACCACTTTATTTATTTATTTATTTATTTATTTATTTATTTATTTATTCCTCACCTGAGGATATTTTCCCATTGATTTTTAGAGAAAGTGGAAGGGGTATTGGGGGTATTGGTGGGCGTTGGGGGGGGGAGAGAGAGAGAGAGAGAGAGAGAGACATTGATTAGCTGCCCCCTGAAGGACCCCAACTGGGGTTGAGGATTGAATCTGCAACCCAGGTGTGTGCCCTTGACCAGAATCAAACCTATGACCCTTCAATCTGAGAGCCAATGCTCTAACTGTTGAACCAAACTGGCCTGGACTCAAAAACCACTTTAATCATCAAAGGTCTGAATAGAATTGAAAGATAGAGGATTCAAAAATGGTGATGGAATGAATGGAAACTACACAGACCATCTCCTGGACCAAACTGAAATTACAACTAAAATAAAGACAAATTGTAGGCAAAAAGCAACAGAAAAGCAGCTGGAGAGGACCCATATAACCAGGGACAGGATAAAGGACACCAAATCGATCCTGGTAGGACCTGTGGAGGTGTAAGAGGGTGGGCTGGGAGCCCACGGACAGCAGATATTTTAGCTGTGAGCAGCTGCCTCAGGGTTAAAATCCCAAGCTGGCTACACACCACAAAGGGCCAGGACAGAGCACTAAATTAGGTACAGTCACTCACCTTGGGCTCTGGCAGAGGGAGGGTGGACTGGTCTGGAACTGTGTGGAGAGACTCGGGATTTGGAGGGAACTGGGAGTTTTCTGCTAAATCATGCCCTCACAGGACAGTAGACACAGGACAGAAAGGGCTCTTCCTAAAGGAGCCCTTTCCCAGAGCCTGGGGGAGAAGCAACAGCCCCTCCCTCAGAAATTTAAAACCACCCAGCTGGGCCAGAGAAATGCAAATTGAGACTCATTAACAGCCAGCATCTGCCCCACCCTCTGGAAATCCTCTTACCCTGAACACCCGAGAAAGTTTTTCATTCAGTTAAGGGCTACAACCCAAGCCTCATCAAGTAACTGAGACTAGTAGCCTCCAGGCAAAAAGCTAGAGGACAACTGAACCTTTCCTGGACTTGCAAATCGACCCAGGAAAGTAAGACTTGACAGTGGTGTTTAACATGGGTCCTCCCACACTCATCCAAATCCAGTAGAGGGAGCCACAAACAGCGAACCATCCACACCCACAGGGAAAATTTGGCAGGCTCCAAAACCCACCGAGACAACCAAAATGGTGAAACAAAGAAACAAATCCCAAATGAAAGAACAAGAGATCTCTACTGAAAATGAGATAAATGAAATGCAGTTAAGCAAGTTATCAGAGGTAGAGTTCAGAGTGATGACAATGAGGAAGGTCAACAGCATTACTAAAGAGCTCAATACCATGAGTAAAGATATAGAAACATTGACAATCAACCAATTGGATATGAAGAATGACATAGCAGAAATAAAAAACACATTGGAAGGACTAACTAGCAAAGTAGAGGAAGCCGAGGACCAGATCAGTGAAGATAGGGTAGAAAAAAATTACCCAATCAGAAAACTAAAAAGAAAAAACAATTAAAAAACAGGAAGACAGCTTAAGGGAACTGTGGGACAACTGGAAACATTCACATCGTAGGAGTGCCAGAAGAAGAATAAAATGAGCAAGGGTTACAGAATACATTTGAAGAAATAGTGACAGAAAACTTCCCTAACCTGGTGAAGGAAGAAGGCATTCAAGTTCAAGAAGCACAGAGAGCCCCAAGTAAGAAAAACCCAAACAGGCCCATTCCAAGATGCATCATAATTAAAATGCCATAAATTAAAGACAAAGAGAGAATCCTAAAGGCAGCAAGAGATAAGCAATAGGTTACCTACAAAGAAATCCCCATAAGGCTATCAGTTGACTTCGCCACAGAAGCTCTACAGGCCAGAAGGGAATGGCATGACATAATCAAGGTAATGAAAAATAAGGATCTGAATCCAAGACTACTCTATTCAGCAAGGCTATCATTCAAAATAGAAGGTCAAATACAGAGCTTCCCAGACCAAAAAAAAGGCTAAGGGAATACATTAGCACCAAACCAGCACTGAAAGAAATGTTAAAAAGACTGCTATAATTAGTAGAAGAAATAGGATGAAAAATATAACCCCAC